TGTAATGCTCAAAGCATAGGAGACATCTGGTCTCGTACATATCATGGCATACATGATGGATCCAATAGCCGAAGCGTATGGAATTCCACTCATGCGATCCTTCTCAGGCTATGACTTAGGACACATAGCCTTGGAAAGATGTACCCCATGACTGACAGGAAGAAAACTCTTTTTCGACCCTTCCATGCTAAACCTCTTTAGCATCTTGTCAACATACGTGGATTGAGATAAACCTAGTAGCCTCTTGGATCTATCTCTATAGATCTTTATAGCAAGTATAAAGGCCGCTTCTCCCAAATCCTTCATCGTGAAGCTTTTTGAAAGCCAGTCTTTCGTTGTTTGTAATGTGGGGATGTCTTTTCCTATTAGCAATATGTCATCTACATAAAGTACCAGGAAGACGACATTACTCCCACTAACCTTCTTGTAAACACATGGTTCATCCTCGCTCTTGATGAAACCGTTACTCCTAACGACTTCATCAAAATGAATATTCCAACTCCTTGATGCTTGCTATTGCAAACATGATCCTAATAGATTTGATCATGGCAACTGGTGAGAAAGTCTCATCATAGTCAACTTCTTGTCTTTGACGATATCCTTCCGCAACTAACCTAGCTTTGTAGGTTTGAACGTTGCCATTTGCATCAGTCTTTCTTTTAAAGACCCATTTATTACCGATAGGAACTATTCCTTGCGGTTTAGGAACCAAAGTCCATACCTTGTTTTGATGCATCAAATCTATTTCAGATTACATGGCTTCAAGCCATTTAGAGGAGTCAACATCCTTGACTGCCTCCTCATAGTTACTAGGTTCATCATCCTCGACGGTTTGTTGATTCTCAATCACAAACTCATACCTCTCAGGTGGATGGATGACCCTAGTAGACCTACGGAGTTGTGTGTTTACTTCTCCATTGGAGAACGTCGCCTGCGGAGCAGACTCGGGTTCCTCAATTTGTTCTTGTGGTCCTTGAACTTCTTCAAGATCAATCTTACTCCCACTGGCTCCTTGAGAGATCAAATCCTTTTCAAGGAACTCAGCATTTTTGGACACAAACACCTTGTGTTCATCCATAGAGTAAAAGTAGTATCCCTTAGTACCTTTGGGATACCCCACAAATAGACATTTAGTACTCTCAGCACTAAGCTTGTCTGATGCCAACGCTTTGACATATGCTGGCGATCCCCATACCCTGAGGTAACTCAGGTTGGGTCTCTTACCATTCCATATCTTATATAGTGTGGTCTGAACAGATTTAGACGGTACCCTAATAAATTATAACCGTTAATTGATAGAAATCAATAGTTAAAATCTAAAATGACACAAAGTTATATCTTTTAAAAGAACAAATATTTTTCCCATAAAAAAATAAACAATTGACATTGCATAGGATGAATTGACTGAATGGGATTCCCATATGGTTGTTCGGCGGTTGGGGGAAAACTGCCAATTTTGCATTCTTTTCTACAAGCTTTCCATCTTTATGCCTCTCTAGAATGCAATTTTGAATTTGTTATAACGGAATAACATTTCTGGTTCAAAGGAAGAAAAAATATATCTACAACGGAGACATAAATTAAAGTGGGCTCCATCATATATTTTCTCTTTTATTATTTTTGTTTTCTCTAGGGATGTTAATGGGCCCAGCCAAGCCGAGTGATATGCATCCAGCATATGGGTAAATCCAAGCCAAAAAGAGAAAGAATATTGGTTAATCTTAAGTAAAAAGGCAATAATTACTATTGATCTGTTAAAATCTCAATCAGAGATTGTGCAACTGATTTTATGCTGATTTCGTAGGAAAAACAGACAAACTAGAGCTCAATGGGAAAATACCAAACTGAAGGCCCACGCTGATAGCGTGGGTGTGGCGCTGACAGCTTGGAGAAGCCTTTTCATACATATACATCCACGCTACTAGCGTGGAATTCACGCTACTAGCGTGGAATTCACGCTAGTAGCGCCAGAATTCAAAATCATTCCGAGACATCCACGCTGCTAGCGTGGCACTCACGCTAGTAGCGCCATACTTTCTTACAACCCACGCTCACAGCGTGGGAACCACGCTAGTTGCGTGGAACTCCAGTATTGTAAACAAAACTCCCGCGCCATCAGCGTGGGAACCACGCTAGTAGCGTGGGAGGTGCAGACAAATCAACAGTAAATCCTGTTTTACATCAGAGAAAAGATCACACTGAGATTTACGACGAAGATTTAATCAAGATATCTGAGCAAGACACAAAGTCTATAAATAGAGCCTTAGACTCCCAGAAACAATCATCTTTGGCTAGAGCAAATTGCGAGGATCAGAAAATTGAGAGAATTCTTGGAGACTCGCACTGAAGATCAGGATTCTACTGAAGTTGAAGGCTGAAGACATTGAGTTTTTATTTTTCTTCTTCTTTTCTTCTTAGTTTCATTCTTTTTATTTGTTTAAGTCAGACATGAACATGTCTGGCTAATATCTTTATGTGGTTGGGATCACGGACCCGATGTGAATCCTTATATATTTTTTATATTAATATTTTATAATTTAATTAGTTAGTTGTTTTATTCTACCTGGTTTAATTTTTCCATATCCTGTTTAGAATATGCCACTCTAAATTATAGGGCTTTGATGGTTAAAATTCACAATAGACATATTGGGGTTTTAATCTGGACAAGGGTAGAATAACAATTTGTGTATGATCTAGACATAGGCTTACATAAATTGCAGACTCATAATTCATTTGCTTAATGCTTAATTCAAGAAGAATCAGTAAGACATTAGGGTTCTAATTGGGTTAAAGGGTTGAAATCACTAAGACATTAGGGTTCAACTTTTTTATAAGGAAATAATGAATTGTCTGAACAAACGAGTTAATTAATTATAAAATACAATATAGGAATATAAGGGAGGATCAGAGGTGAAGTGTATCCTGACTACAATTTTATTACGAATTTTTCATTAATCTTTTCTCGCGTTCTTGATCTTTTCTTGCATGCGTTCAAAGTCCACTGTTAATTAAATTCTGTTTTTAAATTTAATTGTTTTAATTTCTGTTTTGGATTTTCCAAACTCAATTATTCACAACACAAACAAATTTTCTGTTCCAACTCAAGGGGAATAGTTAGACTAGTACTTGGTGCCTGAATCCTCGTGGGAACGATACTTTTCTTATCACTTTATTACTTGGAACAATCGGTATACTTGCCAAGTTCGCAACAAGTTTTTGGCGCCGTTGCCGGGGATTGAATACGTCAATATTAGTTTTAACTTTCGATCTTTGAGATTGGAATTTTTCTTTTTATTTTTTGTTACTAAAAGATTTCTTTCTTTTTATGCGAGGTAAAGCTAACAAGGAACTTTTACAGTTTGATCCAGAAATCGAGAAGACTGCTAAGAGAAATCAGAAGCAAACCAGAGCAAGAAAGATAAAGGAATCCTCGAGTTCAGTGCCGAAAGCCGAACATGAGATGGCCGCTAATAATCAACAACCTCCTGCAGAGGAATTGATGGAGTCAATCTTGGCTCCAATGTTTACAAGGACAAATTCAAGCATCAGACCACTAGTCAACGCCAACAATTTTGACATCTAGCCAGCACTGATAAACTTGGTTGAGAAAAATCCATTTGGCAGAGAAGACTATGAAGACCCCCATGATTTCATGGATAGATTTCTGAGAATCTGTGATACAACCAAGCATAACAGGGTGTCTGATTATGCAATTAGACTCAGACTATTCCTTTTTGCTGTAACAGGGAAAACTCTGAGATGGTTGGATAGACAAGCCCCCAACAACATCACAACGTGGGATGAATTGGCTGCTAAATTCTTTGCAGAGAACTTCTCCAGGGAGAAATATAACAAGTTGGTGAATGAGATCACCAACTTCACTCAACATCTGGGAGAAACTTTATGTGCAGCTTGGACCAGGTTCCAAGAATTGATCAGGAGGTGTCCCCAGTACGACTTGTCGTACGGGAAGAAGGTCAAAGTCTTCTATAACGGAATAACGCCAGAATCCAGAATGGTGGTCAATGGTGCAGCTGGAGGGACCATAGAAAAGAAGACAACATCTCAAACTATAGAGCTGATAACGCATCAATGACAGTTCCACCTGTTCAACCAATTCAACCAAGAAAGGGAATCCTGTAGTTGGAAAACAATGATGCATCACTTGCAGAACAAAAGATCCTATCTCAATAAATAGCAATTATAAATGCTAAGTTAGACAAGTTACAACTCTCTACAGCTTAAATTGACTCGGTCAACTGTGAGTATTGTCAAGAGAAGCATGATACTAACATTTGCCCAACATTGGTAGGATCTTATGCTTTACAAGTCAATGGAATCTGGTATGAACAAAAACCACAGCTGAATTATGGAAGAAACCAGAACAATGCTCCAGGGAACAACTTCCAAAGGAGAGTGCAAGGAACAGGTTTGGATTACAAGTCCAACAACTATATACAACCTCCACCAGTCCCACAAACTCAAATATCTGAACTAGAGAGAGCATTGATGCAGTTGACAAAGACAACTGACACATTCATGAATGAGACAAGGGCTCATCACAAAAATCAGGATGCATCTATGAGAAACTTGGAAAACCAGATAGGCCAATTGTCAAAACAGCTTGAAGAAAGGACTAAAGGTCAGTTTCCAAGTAACACAATAATCAATCTGCGAGAAGATTGCAAATCAATTGTTACAAGAAGCGGAATTGTTATCACTCCTCAAGAAAAACCGAAGGTGGTTCAGCAAAATAAAGAAGACGAACCAGTTCTTGAACCGATGAAAGAAAAAGAGGAGGAAACACCTGCAAAGGACAACAAAGAGGAAGCAAAGGAGAAAGCTGCGGAGACTCCAAAAAAGCAATGAGATTTCTCTCGCTTTGAGAAACCACCTTATCCCATAAGTCAAGGCAAGCACAGAAGCAACAACAAGCCAGGTTTTTAGAAATATTTAAAAAGTTGCAAATTAATATTTCCTTTGCTAAAGCTTTAGCTAGCATGCCTAACTATGCTAAGTTTATGAAAGAACTCTTGTCTAGAAAGCATAAGTTGCAGGAATGTGAAACAGTTGCTCTCACGGAAGAATGTAGTGCCATAATCCGGAAGAAGTTTCCACCAAAGCTTCAAGATCTAGGGAGTTTCAACATTCCGATTGCGATAGGCAACATTGATGTTGGCCGGGCATTGTGTGATCTTGGAGCAAGCATCAACCTTATGCCGCTGTCTGTGATGAAAACTCTCAGAATCTCCGAGTTAAAGCCGACAACATTATCACTCCAACTTGCTGATAGAACATTGAGAAGACCAAACGGAGTAATAGAAGACGTACTTGTCAAAGTGGACAAGTTCATCTTCCCTGCTGACTTTGTAGTCCTCGACATGGACGAAAGAGGAGAAATGCCTCTTTTGTTAGGTAGGCCATTCCTTGCTACAACAAGAGCTTTAATAGATGTGGAAAACGGAAAGGTAGAATTGAGAATGGACGACGAAAAAGTGACCATCGATGTGTTCAAAGTTATGAAGCATGCAGGAGATAATGGTGACTGTTTTCGGGTAGACATTCTTGATGCACTCCTCCTTGAAAAAGAAGATGATCAGACTCTTGAAGAAGAGAAAGAATTCTTTGATGAAAACCCTCCGAAGGAAGATGCTGAAATTCTGATAGAGGAGTTAAAAAAGAAAAAGTCAGACACAATAAAAGAGGCACCTGAGGTGGAGCTAAAAGAGATTCCATCCAATCTAAAATACATTTTCTTAGGAGAGGAAGAAATGTATCCTGTCATCATAAACAAAGAGCTGTATGAGACTGAAGAATCAAAGTTGATGAAAGTACTCAAAGACCATCAAACAGCCATTGGATAGTCCATCTCCGATCTAAAAGGAATCAATCATTCCTTCTGCACTCACAAAATACTAATGGAAGATGACATCAAACCTGTGAGACAACCTCAGAGAAGACTAAATCCTACCATGAAAGAGGTGGTTCGGAAGGAAGTGGTAAAGCTCCTTGATGCCGGCATGATCTACCCAATCTCAAACACTGCATGGGTAAGTCCTGTCCAAACAGTGCCAAAGAAAGGCGGAATTACAGTGATCAGGAAAGAGAGCAATGAAATAATCCCCACCAGAACCATAACAGGGTAGAGGATGTGTGTGGATTACAGAAGACTAAATGATGCCACATGTAAGAACCTGCACCGTTAATTAAGGAAATTAATTAAATAAATATGAGCATTAGGAAATAATTCCATAATTGACCCTAATAATTATATTAAGGCTTAAATAAATATGGTAAGTGATTAATAATGCTGAAAGTCTTTTCGGACGAAAAGTGCAGATACCGGTTCTGCTACTCAGTATAAATGCGTACCGATGAAGTATCCCGAAAAATTATGAAAAGGGTGTATATGTCACTAGAATAATATATAGGACTTGTAAAACAAGTTTCAAGTTAAAATAATGAGAACTAGTGCCAGAACTGATACTGGCTATGGAAAAGCGCGTACCAGAAAGGTGCTGCAAAAAATAAAATAAAAATATGATAAATCTTAGAAAAATAGTAGGTTCAGAATCCTAAGTTTGGGATTAAATTGCTAAGCGTAGAAATTAGCGCTAATACAGTGCGATTAAGTTTAAACCGCCTATAAATACAAACTTGCACTAAAACCTAGGCCATATTTCAGCCTTCTACGTGCCTCCTTTGCTGGTGCTTGAGCTCTCCTTGCTGCCACCTTCATTTCTTGGTCCTTCTTGCTTGGAAATCTTCCAAGTCTTCACCTTTCCTCTCATCTCTCTTCCTCTAAACACTTAGTGCAGTGTAGGGTGAGTGTTGGGGTCAGCCATTCTGAGTTGGTGGACTGTTCTTGAGTGTTTCTTGGGCTGACTTCACTGTTTGTGGGGAAAGATCCTTTGTTCCTTGTTTGTGTGGCTTCAAGAAGCCACCTTTGGAGAGAAAGGCCCTTACTTTGTGGTCATTTTCATTTTCTTGAGAAGTCAGAACTTAGGGAGCTTCAAGTGAGCTCCAAGAGCACCTCTTGCTTCTGTTTTGGAGCCTTGGGTATGTTCCTTAACTTGATCATGAGTTTTAATGGGTTAAAGCTTGAGTCTTGGCATGTAAGATGTTAAAATGAAGTAACCAACAAAAACATGAATCTGTAAGTCTGTAAAAATGCATGCTTGGACGTTGGAATGGGTTAAAAACCCAACCTTTGGAGTGATATCTCGCGAAATGCAGAATCTGCATTCTGTCGCGAAATATCCAGATATGGGGTCTCTGATATCCGAATATGGATATCTGGATATTCTGGGTTTGCGTGAACAGTAATGGTACTGTTCATACAGAATAACGATATGGGTTTGTGGACCCTAGATTGATGAAGTGGGACTTCTGTAATAAATAACGTAAGTCAGAATCTAAGTGATTAAGGGCTTGTGGCTTTGTGAGAAGCCTAAAGACATGAAACGTAAAAGAGAGGCGTTGTCTTTATGTCTTATGCTTGTAGAGTATTATTATTGATATGATTACTGGTTCAAAATAGATTGTGATTCTGCTGTGTTTGGGCTTTGAGCTTGTGTGGACTCTTGGCTTGGATAGCTAGCTTGCAAGGTAAGCTTTCGTGTCCTCGGTTTAGCCATTGTTTGTTCCACCATGTCCCATAGGGGATGGTTTATATGCATGATGTGTTTTAATGTACTGTTTTATTGAAATGCTATTGAGCTGTTAAATGCAAACGCTTATGATATGTATGTCGTGTTTCGCCTAGACAGGAAGCCATGGGGTTGTCCTGTGGGCGGGTACAGCATGGGCGTGTACTGTGTGGGTAATAGACGTATTCCTGCACTTCTCTGATCAGTAGAATAGTTATAACACACATGACATGATTATCTGCTGCATTGCACTGATTTTGGAACTGATATTAAATTACTGCTTTCAGAACTTATATTGCACATGTAATTGAGCTTGGGGTGAAAGATCCTTGAGGACCCCTTGTCTTACTGAGATTTCTATTTAGAGATCTAACCCCACGTTTGGGGCACATATTTCAGGTTCAGGTAATGCGGGGGTTGAGACCTCTAGCGGCAGGAGGCCAGAGCTTAACTGATTTTTATGTTGTTTTGTTGCTTATGTTGGATGCTAGATTATGCCAGTTGCTATTATGCTTTTAGTTTCATGTTATGTTATTGAATTGAGATTGTTGTTGAGCCTTGTTGCCTTATTTGGTGAGCATGGGGATTGTCCATGCCACATTTGTTTATGTATTCGTTGTTTAGATTGGAGTTGTATAAACTATCAGGGTCGTTCGGCTTACGTGTTGTAGTGCCGTGACTAGAGACTCAGTTAATGATCTTATTTATGATATGAGGTTATTCAGTATAGATATATGTCTTTTGCATTTACATACAAGCAATGTTTTTGAAATGAATTAAGTAATTCAACTTGGTAATATTAATGACGTCATAATTGAAAGTAAAAAGTTATTCCGCATTTTAATTAAGCGTGGCTTAATACGATAACATGTTAACAAACCGGGTATACACGGGGTGTTACACCATATGAAAAGATCACTTTCCTCTCCCTTTCAATGATCAGATGTTGGAACGGTTGTTCGGACATGCATATTATTGTTTCCTAGACGGTTACTCCGGCTACAACCAGATACCTGTTGCACCAGAGGATCAAGAGAAGACGGCTTTCACTTGTCCCTTTGGAGTGTTCGCCTATAGAAGAATGCCATTCGGCCTTTGCAACACACCTGCTACTTTTCAAAGGTGCATGCTTTCCATTTTTTCTGATATAATTGAAAAATCATTGGAGGTATTCATGGATGAATTTTCTATATTTGGTACTTGCTTTGATTCTTGCTTAGTTAATTTAGCTAAAGTATTGAGGCGTTGTCAAGAAACAAATTTGGTTTTAAACTGGGAAAAGTGTCATTTTATGGTAAATGACAGGATAGTATTAGGCCATAAGATTTCTGAAAGGGGATAGAAGTTGATAAAGCTAAACTTTTATTAATTGAAAAACTTCCCCTTCTTGCTAATGTGAATGGTGTTCGAAGCTTCTTAGGACATGCAGGGTTTTACAGACTATTCATCAGGGACTTCTCCAAGATTGCAAAGCCATTGAGTCAACTGTTGGTGAAGGACTCTGAGTTTAAATTTGATGAAGAATGCCTGAAGTCCTTTAATCTTCTAAAGGAAAAGCTGACAACCGCGCCTGTCCTGATGGCGCCTGATTGGAACCTTCCTTTCGAGCTCATGTGTGATGCAAGTGCGTACGCAATAGGAGCAATCCTCGGTCAACGTAAGGATAAGTTATTATATGTGATTTATTATGCTAGCAAGGTTCTAAATGAGGCACAAGTGAATTATGCAACAACTGAAAAAGAGATGTTAGCTGTAGTATATGCATTAGATAAATTTAGACCTTACTTGATAGGATCTAAAGTTATTGTTTTTACTGACCACTCTGCATTGAAGTATCTCATGAGTAAACAGGATCCAAAGCCACGAATGCTACGTTGGATGCTTCTTTTCCAGGAATTTGATCTTGAGATTAGAGATAAGAAGGGAGTTGAAAACAAAGTAGTAGATCACTTGTCAAGGATTCAAGCCAAAGAACTGCAAGCTGGACCTGAGATTGAAATAAAAGAATCCTTTCCTGATGAAAAAGTGATGGCAGATCGATTCGCGCCATGGTTCGCAGAATTTGCGAATTACAAGGCCGTAGGATCAATTCCTGAAGAACTCACATGGCAACAGAAAAAAAGTTCCTGCATGATGCAAAACGGTATTACTGGGATAACCCTTACTTATATTTTCAATGTGTTGATGGGATTATTCGCAGGTGTGCAGCTGAGATGGAAATTTCGAAGATTCTATGGCATTGCCATGCTTCAGATTATGGAGGACACTTTGGTGGAAATAGAACCACACAGAAGGTCCTACAAAGTGGATTTTATTGGCCCACAATCTTCAAAGACTCAAAGGAGTTTGTGGAGAAGTGTGACAGATGCCAAAGGACGGGAAACATATCCCGGAAGGATGAGATGCCGCTAAATTGCATACTGGAAGTGGAAATCTTTAATGTATTGGGCATTGACTTCATGAGACCTTTCCCTTTGTCATACTCCAAACCAATACATCTTGGTTGCTGTGGACTATGTGTCCAAGTGGATGGAAGCAGTGGCCTTATCGACAAACGATGCTCGGGTAGTCGTGGCCTTCCTACAGAGAAACATCTTCACCCGATTCGGAGTTCCAAGAGCCATCATCAGTGATGGAGGAACCCACTTCTGCAACAAACAATTTGAGGGTCTTCTCAAGAAGTATGGAGTCACACACAAAGTGGCCACATCGTATCATCCTCAGACAAGCGGACAAGTCGAAATTTCCAACAGAGAGCTGAAGCGAATCCTCTAGAAGACTGTGAGCCATACAAGAAAGGATTGGGCAAAGCGGCTAGACGATGCATTCTGGGCATACAGAATAGCCTTCAAGACTCCCATAGGTATGTCACCATTCCAACTGGTGTACGGTAAGTCTTGTCCTCTCCCTGCTGAGTTAGAACATAAAACTATCTGGGCAACTAAATTTCTGAACTTTGAACCAACTAAAGCTAATGAAAAAAGATTACCGCAATTACATGAGTTGGATGAGTTCAGGTTAGCTGCTTATGAGAATGCCAGGATCTACAAGGAAAAGACAAAGAGGTGGCATGATAGAAAGATAATACCAAAGGAATTTGAGCTGGGACAACAGGTATTATTGTACAATTCTCAACTGAGATTGTTTCCAGGTAAACTTAAATCCCGCTGGTCAGGTCCCTTTGTTGTGAAAAAGTTATACCCTTATGGAACAGT